ACACACACACTCACGCGCACGCGCATGCGCACACGCACACATTTTGCAAAATTTTATCATTTTTATCATTATCACTATTATTTTCAGCAGCAGTATTACTGTTGTTCTTCTTCTCACCATCACCACCACTACCACAATCATTATCACTATCACTATCATTGTCATTATCATCATGAACTCCTGCGACGCCGCTGGACCTGCTTCCTCTCTCCTGCGTGGAGAGGAAGCTTCGTGGGCAACACTTGCTCCTCACTTTCTCTCGCCCATAAACAAGCAACAGTTGTGATCGTGTTCTAGGTCCTTTTTTTTCTTTTTTTCTTTTTTTTTTTTGTCCCATGTTCATGTGAACGTAGGGGACATGTTTGCAGAGAAACATGCTTACTAGGCCGCGGGATGATGCGGTAGGGTGGCCAGTTCCTTTCCGCCCCGACCCTGACCCCAACATGCTAACGTCAGCATATCAGTACTCATTCACAGCTGAGTCGACTGAGAGGACCCACATTCTTCACCAAATATGTCAAAGTCTAGAATTACTGCAACCTTTTCTGAAGGGCTGGTCCAAGGAAGAAAGTGGGAGGCCGAAAGCAGCTGTATTCTGCCATCCTACCTAGCAGTCCAGAAGAGCAGAAAATCATAATAGAACAAAGTAAAGCTAAAGGAAAGATATGAAAAGGAAAGGAGGGAATAATATGGATAAAAACAAGCCCACGGAAAGGAAAATCAGTTTGCAGGATGCCAAAAAATGAAAGTGCCTACTTTACAATGACAAAATACTCAGTATTCACAGTCTGCCCAAACTCTGAAGAAATATAACATATTTTTTTAAAATATGAAAACGTTTTGATTTATTAGAAATGCTTATAATAAACCTAAAAATGTGTCTTTACTTGTACATGGTTACCAAAATATGTGAATAATTTTGTTTTCAATATGTCTACCAATTTACAACTTGCCTGGGGTACAGTTGACATGCCTTCACGGATTGTTTGAGACCAAATCAGTGGGGAAGGTGGATGGGCTACGCACAGGCACACATACACGCACGCACAGGCACACATACACGCACGCACAGGCACACATACACGCACGCACAGGCACACATACACGCACGCACAGGCACACATACACGCACGCACAGGCACACATACACGCACGCACAGGCACACATACACGCACGCACAGGCACACATACACGCACGCACAGGCACACATACACGCACGCACAGGCACACATACACGCACGCACAGGCACACATACACGCACGCACAGGCACACATACACGCACGCACAGGCACACATACACGCACGCACAGGCACACATACACGCACGCACAGGCACACATACACGCACGCACAGGCACACATACACGCACGCACAGGCACACATACACGCACGCACAGGCACACATACACGCACGCACAGGCACACATACACGCACGCACAGGCACACATACACGCACGCACAGGCACACATACACGCACGCACAGGCACACATACACGCACGCACAGGCACACATACACGCACGCACAGGCACACATACACGCACGCACAGGCACACATACACGCACGCACAGGCACACATACACGCACGCACAGGCACACATACACGCACGCACAGGCACACATACACGCACGCACAGGCACACATACACGCACGCACAGGCACACATACACGCACGCACAGGCACACATACACGCACGCACAGGCACACATACACGCACGCACAGGCACACATACACGCACGCACAGGCACACATACACGCACGCACAGGCACACATACACGCACGCACAGGCACACATACACGCACGCACAGGCACACATACACGCACGCACAGGCACACATACACGCACGCACAGGCACACATACACGCACGCACAGGCACACATACACGCACGCACAGGCACACATACACGCACGCACAGGCACACATACACGCACGCACAGGCACACATACACGCACGCACAGGCACACATACACGCACGCACAGGCACACATACACGCACGCACAGGCACACATACACGCACGCACAGGCACACATACACGCACGCACAGGCACACATACACGCACGCACAGGCACACATACACGCACGCACAGGCACACATACACGCACGCACAGGCACACATACACGCACGCACAGGCACACATACACGCACGCACAGGCACACATACACGCACGCACAGGCACACATACACGCACGCACAGGCACACATACACGCACGCACAGGCACACATACACGCACGCACAGGCACACATACACGCACGCACAGGCACACATACACGCACGCACAGGCACACATACACGCACGCACAGGCACACATACACGCACGCACAGGCACACATACACGCACGCACAGGCACACATACACGCACGCACAGGCACACATACACGCACGCACAGGCACACATACACGCACGCACAGGCACACATACACGCACGCACAGGCACACATACACGCACGCACAGGCACACATACACGCACGCACAGGCACACATACACGCACGCACAGGCACACATACACGCACGCACAGGCACACATACACGCACGCACAGGCACACATACACGCACGCACAGGCACACATACACGCACGCACAGGCACACATACACGCACGCACAGGCACACATACACGCACGCACAGGCACACATACACGCACGCACAGGCACACATACACGCACGCACAGGCACACATACACGCACGCACAGGCACACATACACGCACGCACAGGCACACATACACGCACGCACAGGCACACATACACGCACGCACAGGCACACATACACGCACGCACAGGCACACATACACGCACGCACAGGCACACATACACGCACGCACAGGCACACATACACGCACGCACAGGCACACATACACGCACGCACAGGCACACATACACGCACGCACAGGCACACATACACGCACGCACAGGCACACATACACGCACGCACAGGCACACATACACGCACGCACAGGCACACATACACGCACGCACAGGCACACATACACGCACGCACAGGCACACATACACGCACGCACAGGCACACATACACGCACGCACAGGCACACATACACGCACGCACAGGCACACATACACGCACGCACAGGCACACATACACGCACGCACAGGCACACATACACGCACGCACAGGCACACATACACGCACGCACAGGCACACATACACGCATTTTTTTAAATATGAAAACGTTTTGATTTATTAGAAATGCTTATAATAAACCTAAAAATGTGTCTTTACTTGTACATGGTTACCAAAATATGTGAATAATTTTGTTTTCAATATGTCTACCAATTTACAACTTGCCTGGGGTACAGTTGACATGCCTTCACGGATTGTTTGAGACCAAATCAGTGGGGAAGGTGGATGGGCTACGACCCTGAAGGCCAACGGTAGTTACATTTCTAGCGGAAGAGCTTTTGGGAAGGAAAATGGTACTCTCTTACAGTGTGCCCTCAGAAGGTAATGGCAAACCACTGAGTATTTTGTCTAGTTAAACCATGAGGATGCTGAATATTGATATCATCTGGTCACGTGATTCGGCACCAAAAAAAAGAATCTTTTAGAATTGTGTGCACATGTAAGTGCAAGAAGAGTAGCCATTTTAAGTCTCCCTCCCTCCCGCTCCCTCCCTCTCTCTCTCTCTCTCTCTCTCTCTCTCTCTCTCTCTCTCTCTCTCTCTCTCTCTCTCTCTCTCTCTCTCTCTCTCTCTCTCTCTCTCTAGGTATCTAGGTAAATGTAGATGGGCTATAAATAACATGATGTATTCATTTATAATTATAATTGCGTTGATACTGCTAATTTTAT